AAAATTCTCTGACACTGGGTTTCTCTTCTGCAAAGTGCGGATCGTAACACCTGCCGGGATCCCCGGCTGTCACGAGGGTCTGAAAATGAGATGTTTGTGCGCGGGCAGCCGCGGGATGACGGCAAGGACCTGGCTACAGACCGCGGAGGCAGGTGTTTCCATCCCACCTCCAGGGCGATGCCTGAGGTCACAGTCACGGCAGGGGGGACCTGGGGCTAAGGCAGCACCTTTTCTCTCTCTGCTCCTCTGTGAATCTACAAGAAACTAAAGCTTTCGCGTGACCACACGAGACTGTCAGTCAGTACAATTGGCACGGAAGGGAACGGAAAGGAACGTCTGCTGCGGGACAGGTAACAGGATTTGGGCAGATAATGGGACTTGCTGAGTGCTTAGAGGGAAGGGGGGTGTCTCGCCTGGGTCCGGGGAACACAAAACTTCAGTGGCTCCGATTATCCTCCAACGATCCTGCACAGAGAAGTCGGGGCCTGCAGCTGGGGCTTCCAGGGGCCTCCAGAGGACAGAGGCAGGAGATGACAGGAGACTCGGGACTTTTAGCCCGACGAGAGCAGGAGCTTCACTGCTACAGCGGAGGCTCTTTGCAGCCCTGTCACCGTCACTGCTCTGGCCTCCCACGGCCAGACCTCCCCGGCCAGGGCTCTGCGAGTGGCCGGTGCGCCAGGCAGGGTCTTCAGAGACACAGGCCCGATAGGACGGACGTGCGGATGGAAGGAGGTGGACAGACGGTGGGGTGGGCAGGGGGCGGATGGGAGGAAGGAAGGAAGGAAGGAGAGGTGGAGGATGGGCCAGTGCATGCACGGGAGGGCGGAAAGACACTGAGTGTAAGTGATTGGCTCGGTGATCGGTGATCAGGCCCGAAATCCGCCGGCAGACCCGCCGCCGCAAACTCCAGCAGGAGCGGTTCCTGCAGGCTTGAGGCAGATTCCTTCTTCTCTGGGAAACCTCATTCTGCTGTTAAGGCCTTCAACTGGTTGAGGGCCACCCACACTACGAGGGTCCTTCACCGAAGGTAAGCTGAGTACAGAGTCGGCCACATCTACAAAACACCGCAGCGCGACACATTAGCATCCGATCACATCACCGGGTGCTACAGCCGGCTGAGAGGACACCAAATGACCACGCAGCTGCCTTAGGAGACGGTGTCCTGCCACCCTGGGATGCCACTGCCCCAGCGGGCGGAAGATGAGGGAGTTTGGGACGTCAGGTGTGGGCCCACTGCACCTGAGCCAGGGTGGACTGACGCCAGGTGACCCTCTGAGAAGTGACGCAAGGGTGCCGGCACCGGTAGCTGGCTGCTCGCTGGCTGCTCACAAGACAACGGTGCCCAGTGCGTGCCCGGGAGCTCTGCTGGGGGGGTGGAATGATCCAAAGCGTCACAATCACTGTGGTTTTTCTGATGACTCCTAAACAAACTCAATGCAGAGAATGCTCAGGTCTCATCTGGCTGTTTCCAAAGCACCACCCACCCCTGGTCAGGGCCGGGGCAAACGCAGAGCTGCAAGGCTGCCTGAGAGCCGTCCTGGTCATCTGGGGACAGGCAGTGACACACACCATGCAGGCTTGTTGCTGTCATTCAAAAATGAACCTTCTATCCCTCCCCAGGGCTCCTGGCCACGGCGGGGCGCTCGGCACAGACACCTCAGCTCAGGGCTCTGCGGAGCGGGTGCAGCGCCAGATGGGAATTGGTGCGGGAGGTGGGCACAGGGCCTGCCGGAGTCGTGGGAGCAGAGGGCATCAAGCTGAGCTGGGGCTAAAGGCTGCGCAGGAGTCTGCCAGGCAAAAACGCGGAAGTAACGTGGTGTCTGGTGGCGGGGGAGGAGGCGCGTGCAGCCCGGACCCGAGCTCCGCACCCCGATTGCACTGGGGGCCCAGAGGTGCCCGCACGGGAATCGGCAGGTGGGGACGTCCCCGCAGACACAGAGGCAGGGCCCGCGAGGGCCTCTCGGAGCTGGTTCAGGGCAGCCACGGGGAGGCAGAGCCGGTCAGCAGCTACTGGAGGCTGCTGGAGCGGGGCGAGGCCTGGGCGGGAGCGACCTCGGCAGCTGCGAGAAAGGGATTCGGAGGATCAGAGCAGTGATTCCGGAGAAAAGCTGCTTTTCAGGGAGAGTGATGTTTTGGGCTCCTGACATGCTAACCCTGAAGTTCCTGTGGGACATGGAGACGGCACCCAGCAGCCCCCACGGGGCACGTGTGACTCCTCAGTACCCGGGGCCCCGGGGTGTCTCGCCGAGTTTCCCTAGATGACCGGGAAGGTGATTACATGCTCACAGGGATACCGGCTGCGACGACACACACAGAGCCTGCGTGCCACCTGCATAAACGTGACACCTTGCAGAGCCCGTGCTGTGAAAGACAGAATTTGGATTTTTCCTGGGACGGAGCTTCTAAACCTCAGCATTTCCCGGGTGACAGGAGCCTCTGTTACTCCTGGTGGCCCTCAGCCGCGTCCGAGGTGACGCCCATGGGGAGACGCAGGTTGAGGGCGGGTCCCCAGGCAGACGGGCCACGCGATGAGGGGCAGGGAGCACCCTGGTGTCAGCCCGGCCTCCGGAGGGGAGGGAGGCCAGAGACCAGGGTTCAATCTCACGGCCAGTGAGTCCCTCAGTCCCGCTCCGGCAGGGACCCCCTCGTGAAGCCCTGGGCACCAAAGCTCAGCGCAGCTGCCCTGCCGAACACGTGCACGTGCCAGGATGGTGACAGGCCCTGGTTCCACAGGGCAAGGACGCAGCGGTCCTGCAAGTGGGGGCCTCCTGACCTCGCCCCGGGTGTCTCTTCACTTGGAGGGGCCAGAGGGGCGTCCCTTATAACAAAGCCGCCATCGTAACGTGGCACTTTGCTCTGTGAATAGTTCTAGCACGTTGTCGACCCAGAGGGGATCCTGGGACCCTCTGAATTTGTAACCAGCTGGTCATAGTGGGGGTGTCCTGGGGCCCCCTGAACGCACAGCTGGTGTCGACATGAGGCCTGTGGTGTGGGCTCCATCTGTGCCCTGCAGGGGCTGCCCTGAGTCCAGGTGGTCAGTGACTGCAGCTGACTAGGGACTCTGCCCACCCCACTGCTCCACTCACTGCTGCGACGCCCACCAGGTGCTCTGCCCTTACGGAAACTCAGGAAAACTATTCTTGCACACGGCGCTGGTTCTACACAGACTCAACAGTCAAACCTAACAAGGTCCCCTGTGTGGGCAGCCTCTGAGGTGGTCCCCAGTGGTCTGGCCTCCTGTGGGTCCCCGTCTCAGGTGATGCCTGTTAGGTCCGGAGCCGAGAGAGAGAGTGAGAGAGAGAGAGAGAGAGAGAGAGAGAGAGAGACAGACACACACACACACACACACACACATACACACGAAGCCTCGTGTGTAGCAAAATGTTTATTTTGAGTATCTGGGTGCAGATGGGTGAAGGCCAAACAGTGTCTACCCTGAGGGGGAGAAAGTGTTGGGTTTTATAGATGGTTTTTCACGGGGGAGTGAGTATCTGGGCCAGAACAGCCACTGTAATAAATTTTTTTTTTAAGTAGTTTCTGGGACCCCTGTCTCAGTCTCACCTTGTAGAGATGAGGGAGGAGGGTAGCTCCGTCCTTATCAGGGGGATGGGAATGCTGGCTGCAGCTGTCTGTTCGGTTTATAATCTCCAGGACTCTCCAGACTCCTGCGGCTACTGTTTTATAAACCTCAGTTTTCTATTAACCGCATTCCGTCCCATATATATTTTTCCAGTTCCTACCTGGAACCAACCTAACAATGCCCTGTCCTGGAGCGTGAGCAGTCTGTGGACAGGAGCCTGCCAGGGTGACGGAGCCCCGTCTGCGAGGGGGTTGGAAGACTGCAGTTTCTGTCTTGGAGCTCTCAATTTCCTTCTCTTCCTTGGAATGCTTGCTCTGGGAGTCTGCGGCCATGTCCCGTGGGCAGACCACAGAGAGACCCGCATGCAGGAAGTGAAGCCTGGCCAACAAAGCAACACACCTGCAATCTCCTGAGAGTCCGAGCGTGACCCTCCCCACAAGATGGGCCCCAGGTGGTGGACCTTCAGAACTGTGAAGATGCCCCGGGTTTGTTAACTGCCACTGGCCAGGCCCACGGCAGCTGCCTTCAGACACACCGCAGGCTGGGGCAGGAGCAGTCACACAGTGGAACACAGTCTGTGGTCACCTCAGACTTGGGCGCTGCTTTCCGAATCTGGCACTTGGCAACCCTGTCACTGTGGGCAAACAGCTCCGCCTGGCTTCCCTTGGCTACCCAACGGAGAGAGGGCGTGGAGCTGTTAGAACGCAACCATTAAGTCTGTGTGTCTTTAATCCTTTCCAACTCTTCCGTTGTCCCCACACCCCGAACTGGGTGGGTCCCCAGTCCCACCAGGAAGAGCACCAAAGCGTGCCAAGCACGCCCGGTGCGCATCGCGGGGAGGAACCTGCACGGATGATCTTACTCTCCCAACACGCCCAAGCGGGCGGTGGGCAGAGAGCAGGTGGTTCACGCCCCAAGCCCAGGTGTTCCTTCTAAGCCCGCAGCGCGGGGCTGGGCGCCCGGGTCCGGCCACGGTTCCTTCCGTGGGCGTGAGGGGCTGTTTTCAGAGTTAAGGGAGTTCGCTCGGGACGGGTCTGGGGAGAGGGAGACAGAGCAGCAGCAGCAGCGAGCGCGCCGGGACCCACGCCGGGACCTTAAGACTCCAGAGTGTCACAAAACGGCAACGCGCCAACCAGACGGCCCCACTCACGCACGTAAAAGCGCGGGTGAGAGAGGTGGAGTCACTCGATTTACCCCTCCCCCCAGGTCCCGCGTGCGGAATCCGGGATTCAGCCCGGGTCCCGACCCTCTCCTCCGCTCCCCGGGCCGGCCCCGCCGGGAGGTCCGCGCGCTGCTGCGCCCTCATCCCGCCACCTCCGGTCCCGGGGCCGCGCCCCGCCCCGCCCTCGGGGATTCGGAGGGGGCGGGAGGAGCCGCGCGCATGTGCACAGCTGGCGCCCCCCGCCCCCTGCGCACAGCTGGGCCGTGGGCCGCGGCCAGGCGGGCGCAGTCCGAGCCGGCAGCGTCGGTCCGAGCTCCCGAGGTCCGTCCGCGCCGTCGGCCATGGCCGCGCGCCCCGCGAGCCCCGCGCGCCGCTGCCTGCTGGCGATCGTGCTGTGCTGCGGCTGGGGGGCGCTGGCCGTGGTCGCCCCGAAGCCGGGCGCCGGGTGTCCGAGCCGCTGCCTGTGCTTCCGCACCACGGTGCGCTGCATGCATCTGCTGCTGGAGGCCGTGCCCGCCGTGGCGCCGCAGACCTCCATCCTGTGAGTGCGCCCGGGGCGCGGGGGATCCGGGACCTGTGGTCCGGGGTCCACGGAGCTCCCGGGCCCAGGGGAGTCCGCGGCCACGGGCAGCGCGAGGGGTCTGGGGGCCGGGGCGCGGGAGGGGTCCCGGCTCTGGGCGTCGGGCGGGCGCGGGGCCCGCTGGGCCTTTGTCCTCCTTGGCCGGGACGCGGGGGGCGGGCCTGGTCGCGCGGCCCGGGGAGCCGCCTTTGTTCCGAACCAGGAATCCCCGCCGAGAGCCGCCGGGGAAAGCCCCGCTCGTCTCCCGCCGCCCCCCGCTCGGCCCCCTTCCCCTCCGCGCCCCCTCCCTGCCTCCGCGCCCCTCCTCCCCCAGCGCGGCGCCCCCGCCCCCGCCACTCCGGGTCCTGTTCGCTCCCCTCCCCCGCTCTGCCTCCCCCTCCCTCCTCCCTGGGCCTCCCGCCCCCGCGCGCTTCCCTCCTCCCCTCCTCCGCAGCGCGGCGCCCACCCCGTGCCCCCTGCCCCGGGGAGCCTCCCTCGCGGAGCTCGGGTCCCCCGGCTGCAGCGCCCCACGCTTGGGGCCCCGCGTCCGCCGCGGGCGCCGAGCGCCTTTGGCCCCCGGGGGGCGGGAGGGGCCGGGGTTCCCTGGGGCTTTCCCTGAGCCCGGAGCGAGCCGGGCGGGGTTCCCGGGCGGGGCCGTCCCGCGGGTCGCCGAGTGCCCGGGCTGCCGGGTGTGGACCGGGCCGGGCCGGTTTGTGCCCCGGGCGCCTCTTTCCTTTCGTTTCTAACCTGGGCGTCGCTGCGCCCGGGGACGGATCCGCGGACCCGCGGGCCCCTGTGTTCTGGTGCGAACTGAATCAGAAACTTTCGGACTCTGGAACCACGGGCTGCGCTTCAGGCGCCGACTCCAGCCCAGCGTCCTGCAGCTGCCCTCCTGCGTGCCAAAAATAGTTTTCACTTTTCTTCGCTGAGCCAGAGGACTTTCTGGCACCGCCGGAGAGTCTGCAAAAGTTGTAAAAATTTGAGCGAACTATTCAGGAAGTGGGCGGTCGGTGTGTTACCTCCAAAGCCAAGCTCGCCGAGGGACCGCTGCTCCGGCCCTTCCCGCAGCGTCCTGGAGGGTTTGCGGGGGGCGCCGGGCTCCTCAGTCTGTGGGACTGCCTTCCAGAGGGTGTGAGGGGTCGGCCAGGCGGCGTCTGAGAGCATCTCGCCAAAGGCAGGCTTTTAAAATGGGGCTGGGGGGGGATTCTTTGGATGGGGATACTTGAATTTTGCAGTATTTTTTTGAGTCAGTGGAAAAAAGTTGGACTCTGAACCCTTTATTTACATCTGGTCAAGGTCTAATACATGTACTATGCTTTCCCCCCAAATATTGTTTTTTGAAAGTAATGTTTTAATATGAGTGTTGTGGAGTGTTTTGTAGGACAGAAATCCGGCCCCGCTCTGCCGTGCATGGCGTGGTGTTGCACAGAAACGCGACAACTCATGAGCACAGCGGAGCGGAGGGGGTGACCATAGCCAGCACCCGCAGATTTCCTGAAGGCAGGCCGCAGGAACTTACACTTTACGCTTTCCTGGGTTTTTGTGAAACAAGGCTCTGGGAGAGGGGTGAGCTCTCTCTTGCTCGGGTTGGGGACACAAGGGAAGAGGGTAGAGCCGGCAGCCAGCGTCGGGTCTTGGATTGACGTGTTCCAGCCGACATGTGGCACGTCAGTTGTCCCCTGGGAGGACATGCGTGTGTAGCCGTGTGGACCAAGGGCACGGTGGGCAGGCGGCAATGACCGGGCAGCAGGTTTTGGGGAATGAAGAGGAAGCAGTCCCTAGCCGGCAGGTAGGACAGGAGGCAGGCCATCCTGTGGGGGCTTCACGTCGGGTGGTCTGGGGGCCCGGTCTGGTAGGGTCCAGGGTGGAGCTGCCGGGTAAGACAGGGTCACTCGTCATCAGCCCCAGACCTGCAGAAACATTCGGTTCTCTCCCAGGTCTCTGCTCTCACCTGTATGCTGTTATTTTCTGTTGGAAAACGTTACTTGGTGGAAATTAGGAATAGAAAGATAGGAGGATAAAGAACCTGGCCCCAAAGTCAGGCCCTCTAGCCATTGCACCGTCCTTTTGCTTTCAAACCCTCGTCCCCACACCAGCCTCCTGAGGAAATTCAGAGTCACCGGAGAACATCCTGCCCCAGCCTGAGTGCCTCAGGGGTGTGTTTGAGCCGGGCCTCCTGTCGGACAGTTTCATTTGTTGTTTGGGACTTCGGAGAGTGAAGGTCTGAGAGCACCGTGTGATTCGGGCTTGGGCTGACCCCGGAGGGCTGAAGGAGCACCGTGGTCTCCGGCCGTCGGAGCAGAGGCCCCGTGACATCTGGGTCTGGGGCTCTGGTTTCACGGGTGAAGGTACCTGCAGGACCCGACCAGTGGTTAGTACTCAGTTCAGCTCGGAAGGTTTTGTAGAAATGCTTCAGTTTTAACGCGCTATTAGACTACGGCCACAGGCAGTAGAAGTTTGACGCAGGACAGTTCTAGCTCGATAAAGCATGCCCCTCATTCCGCCCCCTGCTTCCCTCCTCTCAACCCCGCCGTCTTGAGGAGGCGATTTGAAGCCCTCCCGGTCAGCACTGCTGGAACCTCTGCCTCCCACTCCCACCCCTTTCTCTTCTCTGCAGCCTCCACTGTGGAGGTGCCACCAGCATCCGCTGCACAGTCCGGGCGCTCCCAGGCCGCGCCCTGCCGAAGTGCGGTCAGTGGACGGAAGCCCTGGCCTGGGGGCTCCAAGGGTGTGGAGCTCAGGGTAGGCCCAGGGAGGGGCTTTGCAGGGAAACCCCGGGCAGGACCCACGCCTGCAGCGCCGGGCCTGCTCCCCGCCACACAGCTGCTTTGCCAGAGGGCTGGTCCCACATTCCTCAATTTTCTTACTGCCTGCTGGGTGTCTGGGCCTGTGCTGTATTGGGGTCTGGACTACCTGCTTTCAAAAAGGGCCCGATTCCACCCTCGTGGGATTCTCAGTCCAGTGGGGGCTCTAGAGAGTGAGGGGCTTGCAGTGGAGCGGCAGGGACGCCTGCGCAGGTGCACACAGGACTGCGTGGGACTCGCGGGCCCTTGGAGGTCTGGGGCAGAGTGGACGCCCAGCTTCCGGCCTGTGTCCGCACGGGTGGAAGGTCCCAAGTTGCCACTTGGTGAGCGCCCACCTGCCTGCGCCCCCCACAGGCCCCTCTGGGGCTCAGGACCCACAAGTGGAGAAGTGAGTCTCTGGGCCGCTCAACTGACTCGCTCTGTCCCTGGAGACCTTGTCCCCAGAATCGTGGTTACCCCAGATCCGTCAACCTCGGAGCTTCCCCAGAACCAGCTTTCAGGAGAATCTAATTTTCCAACCAGTTTCCCTTGTGAAATTGGTCCCTTTTTGGAGAGGAGAGCTCTTCCCCACACGCGCTTTGAGGTGGAAACTGCTGCGTGGGGTGGGAGGGCGGCTGGGCCAGCTCCGTGCACTTTCCACGCTGCCTTCTGCAGGCTGCCTGCTGCGAATGCCCCTCTCCTGACCCTGTCCTCTGGGGACACTCTCACCCCAGCGACAGGGACAGGGGCGCCAGGCCTTTGCTCCTTTGGCAGACGTGCAGCGGTTGGGACGTTCTGTGTGTCAGTGTCGGCCCTCTGTGGGCCAGCAGCTCCCTAGGGCGAAGACTGGATCGCTGAGTGGTCAAACCCTGCGTGCTGCGCGCCACCTGCGCACACACAGACCCTGCGTGCAGCGCGCCACCTGCGCACACACGGACCCCGCGTGCCGCGCGCCACCTGCGCACACACGGACCCCGCGTGCTGCGCGCCACCTGCGCACAAACAACTCAGTATAGATACGTCAGTGAGATGCTTTTTTGGTGCTTAAAATAGCATCATCGATGGCTTAAAATCTTTCTAACTTGATAATTCCACTGATTTATATTTTCTTTGTCTTGAGGTTATTTTGAAAAATAGACGCATTTTTCACCTAGTCACTTGATTTCCCTTCAGATCCGCAAAGTCCACAAACAAGATAGGTAAGGCCTGAGCGATTTCTCAACAGAACGTTACTCATGTGACTGAAGTTGAAGCTGGCAAAAAAGTAACAATGTGCTGGTTGTTGCCTGGGTAAGCCTGGCATTCCTCTCCTGGCTGGAACTTGTTAATTAGTTTCTCTGTTCCGGAGACTGTTGTCTTTCTTCCCCATTGCAGGGCTGTCCTAATGCTCAGGTTGGAGAATGCAGAGGGCGAGCCTGGCCTGGCCGGGACCTGGCTGCTCAGACCCTCTGGGTCCCAGGCCCTCCCTGGCGCTCTGGCAGGGTTTACTCCGACCTCCTCTGAGGGTGGTTTGTTGGGACCTGATGCAGGCTGGATGTCAGCTCATGAAGTCACAGCCCCTGTCCTGTCCCTGTCTAGGTGACCTGCCCACCTGAGGAGCTCAGAGCAGGGGCGGGGTGTTTGCAGGAAGGCCAGCCTCACCTGCTCCCCTTCTCTGAGCTCAGGGGCTTCCAAGGAGCCTGCAGGGCCATCTGCCCTTTGCTCTACAGTTAGGCCTGAAGGAGAAGCTCAGCTGGTGACTGATACTCCCCTGCTTGAGCTCTGTCGAGATGAATTTTCACTTAAGAAGAAACCCAGCCTTACAGACGAGATGGACGTGTGAAAGGAGCGCGTGTTTCACGCTCGCTTGGAGAGCCGTGACGCGTCTGCTCCTGTGAGACTGTCCCCGCGGTCCAGGTGGCGGGCGTGTGCTCGAACCCCCAGTTCCCCCCTTCCTGGGCACCCCTCCCTCGCCCAGCCCTTCTTTCCGCATTTGCGGTTTTGCCTCTGGGCTCCTGGAGGACGCTGGTCTTCGCTTTCCCCTCTTGGGTTATCTCTGTCTGATTTTGGCACAGCAGAGTAAATACTGCTCACAGAGCGAGTTGGGAAGCAATTCCTTCTCTTTAATTTTTTGGAAGAGTGTGGGTGGAATTGCTTTTATTTCTTTCTCAAAGATTCGGTGGCATTTCCCAGTGAGGCCACCTGGTCTGAGAGTTGTCA